CTGATTGTGAGTATGTATTCAGGGACTGGCTAGTCTACCATCTACTGTCTCATGTCCCATAGTCACACAGTGGTCAATACAACTTTCTCAATTATTCCACACATAACACGGGGACTAAGAGATACAACACCAAGACGAGCGTAATCGAACAATGGAGTTGTCAGCTGGCAGTAGCCTTTGTGTTGTTTCTTTCTATCACCATGTTGTTGCACAAAATTGCTAAGACCACATTATTCCAACGAGGTAGACCCACAGTATTGCTTCAGTCAATACAGGCGTAATATAAGGCTAACAATGCTCAAAACCAGTGCTAAGTAAACTTGGAAGGTCTAAAATAATGTAAGCTGCTGAAATGACCACGAATTAATTGCAAAAATTGATCTAAAATCGTGATAAATTCTTCAGCAAGATCAGGCTAATATCAGTGTCGCACAAGAGAGCGCGCCACTGCCTCTGCAAGCACACGATTGCCGGGGGAACTGCCGCTACAGGCTTCATAATTGTTGAGCTACATCAAGCATGGGATTAGAACTACCAAAGTTAATCAAAATAGGTTGTGAAAAGTAGTTCAGAAAGTACTGCCAGCGATATCAGCAAGGGAAGCTATTGGTGCTGCTATTGAAATGCCACTAAGTGTTGAAGGAACAAACACTAACTGCAAAAAGCAAATTTCATTCAAGGCTGAAGCAATACAAGGGCAAAGCAATTTTTTTACAAATAGCATTTATTTCCCAAAAAACATTGTGAAGGTGCAATGTGCAAATAATTTATGACAATGTTTCATTATGTATTATGAAAACATTTTTTTCTTGGCATCCCCCTTTTATTCCAAGAAGCCCATAGAGTTTCCTCCACTCACCTGTGGTGCTGCAGGCTGTTGGATGCATGGAATGCTTAGATATGCGAGCTTCAGACTTTGCTCGGTTTTACATTGTTGACAAATAGCTTACACACCTCCAAAACGCGTTCCTTGCATCGAAATGGTTGATTTCGTACTGAAGGGGCACCCAGTAAGTTTCATGTTTTTGATCATTGCACAGCAATGAATTTTATTAAACTTAGAAAACTTCTGCAACGGTGTACAATGTTACGAAGTGTAAAAAGTAATGCACAGCCACAAAACTTGGAAGGCAGACTACAAAGCTAGCATTTGCTTTGCAATTACTAAGCGTATGTTTCATTTTTTTTTCTCCATTTGGTTAAGCCATAAAGCTGCGTGAACTTTTATTTTAGAATATAATACATAGGAATGAGATCTGCTCATAAAAAGACTTTTTTTAAAAAGATTTATTTACGCAGTCAAGGTAGTAGTGCCGTTTAGTGGCTGTGATCGCTGGCATTTATTTTGGTAATGCAGAAAATTATAGATGGAGAGGAAACCTGAATAAGACTGCTGCTATATAGACATCAAATCATTTTGATATGTGGTGCCCGTCCTATTTGTGTTCTCTCGTGTGTCTGCACATTTGCACAGTTGTAACCGCTTTTTAGCCTAAGCCTCGCTCAACACCATCCAATACAAGCCTCACAGATACCTATACCGTCATTCCCTTCGCAGCAATGACGCACCTCAAAAATTTGCTTAGGTGGTTGTGCCAGATTTCCCTCGGGGCATTATTGTGAGAAATTCTATGATGCAGCTCTTGCAGTGCATGGAAAAGTGTGCTTGAAAGTTCCCAACATCCCACCCCCTCACGTGTTTTGGTGTATCACACCCAAATGTGCTCTGTGAATTACCGTGAGGAGAACTTATTTCTGCAACTCCTGGAGTATGACGGGCAATGCGCACGATGTGGCTAACATTTAATGCTGACAACTTTGCTGCACAAATGCAGAAGCTATTTGCTATGCAAGGGTGTGGTAGCAATACGCGTATACCTAGTGAACTGAGACTTCTAGATAAAACACCAGAGCAATGGCTTGTAGTAGTGTGCATGCTGGATTTTCAAGGGTAAACATTTCTGCTGCCAAGCATCCTTCGTGAACACCAGTGCCTATTGAATTTCCTGTTACTGGTTATCAGATCGCCAAGTTATCTATCGCACTACAATTCACACGCCAGTGTACGCTCTGAACTTCAAACAAACAGTGCTACAACGGGACACCTATGCTGAAAAACCCGTCCTGCCCAAAAAAGAACCTTTTGCAGATTTTGTCAGCCCATACAAAAGTTGTGAAAAAGGGAATTGCTATATCAGCACTTTGGAATGTCTTCAACCGATCCTGCTTGCACCAAATAAGCAATACTATTTCTGCACAATTTGATTGATTGTCCAAGACAGGATTTTCCGCACCTATGCTGTTCAGTCTACGTGAAACGCTTCTATACTCAGCGACAACTTATCTTGGCATTGGAGCGAAAGCAATAGAGCCATATCAAGGGCACACTAGCGCCAGTGTCACACACTTCGGGTGAGGCCCCGCCGATCCAAAATCGACGTGCGGCAGACTCGCAGGCTTCCACTTTACGCTTCGGCCTGCGACGCCTGAAAGGCCTCGAAGTGGCACATTTCAAATTTATTTGCAGGTCGGTCGACCCGTGAGGGGTTGCACGTGTGGTGATGTGTGGGCCTGACCGACGCACTTATAAAGCAGACACAGAGAATTGATTACACACAAGCATTTAATTAAAACAGGGGCAAAGGCAGGAGATTACAAAATTAACAAAGGAGGAAAACTGATACGCGCGATGGAAAAGTAACATGAATCAAAGAAGATACAAGGAAAGTTACATGAAAAAGTTTACGGTCGCGCTTTTGAATTTCTACATGCGACGCAGCGCACACAAGTATACAAATATTAAAAAAGGCTGGTTATAATAAATTAACCATTAAAAAAATCACAATAAAAAGTTCTATACAGACCAGGCCAGCTCTTGGTGCACGTAGGGGAGTTCACGGGTGCCGCTGAAGATCTCGCCGGCTTTGTAGACGACGAGGGTGCCCGGAATTGCAGCCGTCTCAATACGTTGCACGGGTCACTCTATGCCCGCCGCCTACGCGAGACTCGCGACACCGACGACTGCACTTCTTGCTGGCTGTACGTCAACTGCCTATTCCGATGCAGTCCAAACTTTTTCAGGGGCGTACGCATGCTCCCGTCCCATCTGGGGGTAATTTCCTTTTTTTTTTTTAACCACCTGTGCCCCTTTCGGTACAGGTGCAGGGAAGACGAGCCGGCGCCACGCTGGGTCGTTAGTCGCCGGATGTGATCCCCCCATCACAAAAGCGCCCTTCCTTTGGAAGATGGGGCCCGTGGATGATACGAAAATTGGAGTCGTTTGTGGCAGCCAGTGAAGGTAGTTCCACAAAAGCGCCCGTATTTTCACCGCGAAATATAGATGTTCCCCCTTTATATTCTACGTGGCGCTACTTGAGTCAGGACACAGCTCCCACCATTAAGATAGTCGTATTTACTTTAATTAATTCCTTGTGACTTCGTGTTTTCGAACGCGCAAGAATGTTCCGCCTTTTACTTGAACCTCAAACGCTAAGCGGCATCTGTGTCTACATAAAACTCTGATGGTGCACCCTCATCATTTTTCATAGTGTTACGAGACGCGCGACAAAACGGACTACTTCGCGTATTGCTACATAAGCAGAAGCTCCGCCTTTGCAACTTTCCCTTCAGCTCCAGAAAAAGTTGTCACCGAGTATAAAAGAAAATCGCACAGGAAATCCCGTGAACGACTTCAACATTATGCAATAGAAAAATATGAATGTCATCTTGTACGTTCATGATGTATCCTACCGACTAAAAAAGGTTGCAACTCGAGTCGGGCTATCGGTCGTTTTCAGCCCACCAAACAAACAGAGTGGATTAGGCAGAAAAGTGAACGTGCAAGAATCTGCTACAAACTTTCCTTCTAAAAAGCATGTACGACGGTTTGTTGAATTCTGATCGGGAGTAGAGTATGACATGCAACTATATTGTGGAAAATGGTACACTGGACAAAACTGACTGTTACCTAAATGATCGGTTTGCGAGCGCATGCATGCACAGAGAATGGGACATGCAGTAATTATACCCAACAGTTCACCACATGTGGGTGCTCACCATGCTTTGACCTGACAAAAGTACTAAAAACATACAAGAAGTTCAGATCACAAATTTGGCCGTGTATCAGCAATGTTACACTGGTACTCTGGAAGCGCTGCAGTGTCTCGAGCAAGCAGCGGAGGCGAACGAGCACATCGTCACATCACACGTGAGACATGAGTGCTATCTGGCAGTCATCCTGGAAAATGAAGCGCGCGGCGTGCACTCCCGTCTCTGAGGTGATGAAGTGTACAACGCAAGGCGACGGGTAGGTGCTACGACCGTGTCGTCTTAGCAAAGCGTTGGAAACACTTGCCTTTTCGTGCAAGCGCTGCATGGTCAGCGCAGCGTGAAACACACCATGGTCCTTAGAATTACCTATGTATGCCTTTTCTAGTAAAAAATACAACTACATATTATTGAGGTGTTCTTACGGTGCCTCAGATATGCGCGAAAATTGCTTTTTAATTTACGATCGCACAAATATGAACGCTGAACCTTGACCAATATTTATGTGCGCTGCGGATGGGGTCGGTCATTTAGAGTATCATTTGGCATTTTTGGTGCCATTTGAAGTACCGTAAGGGGCGGACAAACAGACAAGTGTACAAACAGACAGACCAAAATTTTTGCGTTGAAGGTCCCCAAGAAAGACTATCGTCTTTAAAACGACATCATCGCGGCATTTAGAACTGCACGATGACTTACACAACTACGTTAACACCGCATTAACTGCAGAATTAGCGCTGTGCTTAAGCACAATTGCGCAACGTAAGGCGCTGGGTTTTAACTTTTTTTCCTTTTTTAATTCTTGGCATATATAAGGATTTTCCGCTCACGAACCCCACCACCGACGATGCACATTCTGCGAAAAGAGCCCTTTAACGTACAGAGAAAAGAGACAATAAAATAATGAAGTTATCGCATGCGGCAAATACTGTTAAATAAAGGCGGCTCTGTACCTGTGCTGTTTTGAACACGTCCAGCGCACTCTGATCGTGGATGACGATATGCGTGGCCTTGATGCCTGCCTGCTGAAGTTGCTCGGATGTAATGATGCCTTGCGAGGTGGCCAGAAGGACGTTTGGCAAGTGGTCCGTCACACTAACGCTCACCGTCTGCGGTTCCGAGAAGGCTGCCTCGTCGGCACTCGGCGAGTCCTCCGAGAAGATCACAGGCGCCTCTGACGATCCGCCCGACTCCATGACCATCACCATTATTCGCGCCACAAAACAGTAGGCGACACAAGCAACGGACTTGCGCGTCGGCACATCACGTCTCCTGTTCGGGGCGTCCTTCCCCGCAGGCGACGAAACCGTTGCGGCCCCTGCCACCAAACAACACAACTGAATCGACTGAATGTCCAAACTTTACCTCACTTTGAAAAGGTTCTGCACCGTGGTGACGCATACACGTGTTTTCAGCACAGACTCAAGAGAATGGAATAGGTGGACGACGCGGAGAACATCTACACAATACACAATCTACACTCACGTTGGAGAACAGAAACCATTTACAACAGAAACATTTCACAACTGCTTTCACAATGGCTAGAGTAGAGTCACGCTAGAGAAGGGAAACTGTACTTTTTACAATGCAACGAAAATAAGGGGAGCGGTGGCGTTGTGAACTAACTTATCCGACCTAGAGCAACGCCTCCTCTAGGAAGATGCCTGCCGCATGAGAAAAAAAACAGCTGCCACACTCTTTCTCTTCTTCAATTTGAAAATGTTCTTGGTCGCTAGCGTCACCTGTGGCGGACGGTGCAAGAACGCAACACTTTGCATAGCCTCCGAAATAGTGGTGCACATTTGCAGGTCTTGAACAACTCTCAACGGACGCGCCCCTATGGGCCGCAGATGAAAAACGCTTAGCTGGTACCGCCCGTCACCGTGATGATAGTGTCGGTCGCGAGTGCCACCGCGCGGAGCTCGTTTAAAACTGAAGGCAGGCCAGCTCCGCTGGGAGCGCGAGCCATTCCTCAGGCATCTTTTTAGAGGAGGCGTTGCCTAGAGTTACAGTGGCTCTGTACTAGAGTCTAGAGACCACGACCTTCTGTACTCCTGCCTGCCCAGCTGGCGGCTGTCTACGGAGCTGCCTGCGCCGGCTCGGATTCCAAACTTCGCCGCATAGGGGCGCTCGAGTTACCCCATCTGAGCGCCGGTGGATGCATAGAAATGCAAGGGTTGCCGCCGGTTCGAGAAGAGTTTCATCACGGTTTGAGTAAATGTGACCGGTATCTTTAATCATTTCATTTTATGTGACTTTGAAAATCTTTTTTGCATTTTACATGACATTTCAAAGCATTATTTTTCGAATGGAATCACAAATAAGATACAAAAACATGTATCATCGTGCAAAACAAAAAAGAGCGATGACAGAGACAGGTTGTAAAAACTGCTGGCCCTCCAAATGTTTATTTCACTCATGATACCGGCTATACGTGTATACAATGGTAGACTTGTTGTCGCACACTCAGCTGGATTGAATTTACTGCTTGGACAAGAAAGTGCAAGGACTATGACATTTGACAGTGCCCGCGGCATCCAGCGCGCATAGAAAACAACCCAATACAGACAATTTTGCGCATAAATACCTTCGTCTCAAATTGCAAATGTAGATCGCAGGTACATGAATAATCAATAAAAAACACTCTGCAACTGTTTTGAAACGAAACAGCAAACAACTTTACCTGCAAGACTGCAGCGTTTGCTTTTTTTGGAGAGCAGATTAACCTCAGCAACTTCACGGTTCAGCTTGGCTATTTGCGCTTTTAATTCAGCATTATTCCTTGCCATGGTTTGGCATTTTCGGTGCGATGATTTTGCGGAAGTCGTCACACGGCGCACCTTCTGGCTGGTTATAGTTGTTTGCGTGGTCAATGAGCGTCGGTAGATTTTTTTTTTACTTTGTCGCCAGGTGCAGTTTCAGGTGGTTCTGTGCGTTCAAATTCGGTGAGAGGGTGCATAAAGTCTGAGGATAGTCCCGAAGTTGTGTTTGCGGATGGTACTGATGACATATGTCGCTCGATGTCAAATTCTCTGCTGCGCGCCGTGGCTGAACCTTTTTTCTTCCTGCATTAAAAAATTGTGTTCTGTTATACGCCTTTCCTTGAAATTCGTTTTCATTGGTCCAATTTGTATGCAAAGAGCCGTGGTGAAATGTCAAGCATTAAACATTGTTAGTCAATTTGTTTTCTTTGGGCAGGGTCCATGTTCCTGAACATTTGAACGTTTCAAGGTGCGGCGGACTTTTGCCACGGGCGGCACCACGTACTTTGGGTAGTGTGGAAACACTGACAGCACAGCAACCACTTTTTATCCTTAGTCCCGGTGTGGCATACTTTTCTTCTTCTTCTGGCACGACACACTTGCGACATAAGCTAGTAGTGGGTAGTCTACTAAGGGGAAAAAAGGAGGCAGTTGGTACAGTTGCAGAGATGCGTTGTGTTGATGAACCGCGCTGTGTTTTCGGAACAGCGTTTCAGAGTGCTATATAATATTGGTGACCCGGACTACGAACGCGACCTTCCATGGAGCAGCGTGAGCATCTCGACAGCCTCAGCCCTGGTACCGCTGCCACTGCACCCGGCCATGTACCCTCTTCGGGTGTTGTTGGAGGTACTACTACGATGACGCTACCACAGCTGTGGCTTGCCGATCCCTCCTTATGGTTCATTCAAGTCCAGAACAAGTTCCGCATTCATCGCATCACGTCAGAAGTTCGCAAGCATGAGCTCCTCGTTGAAGCGTTGCCGCCACAGGCAATGGCCTAAATACGCGACATCCTCGTGGGCCCGCCTGGTGACACTCCATATACGACAGTTAAACAGGCTCTTCTTCACCGACTCGTTCCGCTTGAGCATCGGCGCATTCAGCAACTTCTGTACAACGAAGAGCACGGGGACAGCCGTCCCACACAGTTTCTGCGTCACCTGCTTGGGAACCAGCCGGACGGCTCGAAAACATCTAAACTACGTGAGTTGTTTTTACAGTGTCTTCCACCTACCATGCGAATGGCTCTTGTCTTAGCTCAGGATAAGCCGCTGTCAAAGCTGGCAGAAATGGCCGATGACATGATGGACGTTGCTCCGGCAGTCATAAACGCTGCCCACACCTCTCCGATTTTCGAAGCAGATTCCCTTCGAGAAACGGTAAAAGATCTCGCAGCTGGTCGCCAACTTGCGTCTGCAATTGCTGAGCATTCGCAACTTAAATGACCAGCCTCGTCCACATTGACCATCTCTCACGTCGGCTGCTCCGCAACGGCCCCTCCACCAGCCCGAGCACTGCTTTTCACCGCAGAACACATGCTATTATCACCAGCGTTTTCGTGCCGCGGCTCGCAGATGTGTGCCACCTTGCTCATGGCGTATGGGAAACGCTCCGGCCGATCGTCAATAACAGCGGCGGGCGATCAAGGCCAAGCATCAAGCCGTCTCTTCCACATTACCGACAGAACCACAGGTCTGCGCTTGCAGGTGGACACTGGAGCAGAAGTCAGCATAGTTCCAGCGTCCAAAACTGACCGGCATCTTCGCGAGAAGTCGACTCTTTTATAAGCGATCAATTCTTCGGTCATGGCAACTTACGGACAGAAGTCTCTGACCCTTGATTTCGGTCTTAAGAGGAAACTGCAGTGGTTATTTTGGATAGCAGACGTACGCTACGCAATCTTAGGCGCCGATTTCTTCATTTTCATCTGCTCGTGGATATGAACCGCTGTCGCCTGGTGGATAGCTATACCGGCTTATCGGTCAATGTTTTCTGTCACGCGCTACGGCCTTAAACCCCACTTTCGTGAAACCGCCCATGTCACCATATACAGCTCTGCTCAACAAATTTCCGGAGATTACAACGCAGTCTCCCATGGATAAGACCCCCAAGCACACTGTGACCCACTGCATCGTTACCACAGGCCCACCGGTTCACTGCCGCCCTCGCCGACTTGGCCCTGATAAACTTCCAATCGCTCGCAACGAGTTTGAGCATATGTTACAGTTGCAAATCATTCGTCCGTCATCAAGCTCGTGGTCATCGGCGCTACACATGGTTCCCAAGACGAACAATAACTGCATGGCGGCCCTGTGGTGATTATCGGGCTCTCAATGCAGTCACCGTTCCAGATCGATACCCGCTACCCAATATTCAGGACTGTACTGCCTTTTTAACCGGCGCAACTGATTGATTTGATTGATATGTGTGGTTTAACGTCCCAAAACCACCATATGATTATGAGAGACGCCGTAGTGGAGGGCTCCGGAAATTTCGACCACCTGGGGTTCTTTAACGTGCACCCAAATCTGAGCACACGGGCCTACAACATTTCCGCCTCCATCGAAAATGCAGCCGAACCGGCACAACTGTATACTCGAAGATTGATCTTGTGAAAGCTTATCACCAGATCCCCGTTAAGCCTTCTGACATTCCCAAAACTGCAATAATTACCCCATTTGGGCTCTATGACTATTTACGGATGCCTTTCGGTTTGAGAAACGCAGCTCAGACATTTCAGCATTTTATAGACGAAGTCACAAGAGGCTTGCCATTTTGTTTTGCCTATATCGACGATCTTCTCGTTGCCAGCAAGGACACTGAAACGCACAAGGCACATCTACGTCAGCTTTTCACTCGACTGCGTGATTACGACCTTGTCATCAATGTAGAAAAGTGTCAGTTGGTAGTCTCAGAGATAGCATTCCTCGGACATCAGATCACTAAAGATGGCACCACTTCTCTACCTGACAAGGTTCGAGCTATCCTAGAGTACCCGCCTCCCACGTCCATACGCAGTCTACGACGTTTTCTCGGACTCGCCAATTTTTATCGCCACTTCATCCCTACATGCTCTACACTGCTGCAACCTCTGGAATCACTACTCTCGACTCCGCAAGCCGAGTCAGCCGCACTTCCCTGGGACATGGTCGCGGATCAAGCTTTTTTCGTCGTTAAGACCAAGCTTTCCCAGGCCACCCTCCTGCACCACCCTTCACCAACTGCTCCCACTAGCATCATGGTGGACGCTTCTTCAGAAGCAATTGGGGCTGCTCTTCATTAATGGATCAATGGTGCATGGGCTCCAATTTCCTTCTTTTCCCGCAAGTTTTTACGTATATGTCCTTTTGTCATGCATGCACGTAGACGGGTAAACTAACACGTTTATATCAGACGCGGTAGCACATAAATTCAAGTTCGAGGTCAAAATAATTAAGCGAGAGAGGATAAATATTCACTTATGCAACGATCTCTGCTCTTTTTGGCAATGTAATTAAACTACCAAAGTATCTCGAAGAAGCTGCTTCTTCCCACAATGGATGTGTTTGAAAACCTAGTTGCATAACCACACGTTTCCATAACCACATGCTTCCATATGTGCGCTCTTGTCATCTTTTTTTTTTTGCTAATAAAAAGTTGTGAGTATAGCACGTCATAATTTGCTTTCTTGAGGTTGTTGGCTTATTTTTTTTTTTTTGCGCTAATATGCGTCTCAGTCTGTCATGCACCACCAACCAGCCCAGCAACTCACTCTCTTAAAGACACGTAGTCATTTACGATTCATTACATTTTCAGCGTGCCAGACAATGCCTAATTGAGCAGACTTACCCTTTCTAGGGTAAGTCTGCTCACCT